CAATTTAATTCTGCACCCAAAGAAGGTAACAATATGTTAAGTAATATAACTTATCGACGTAATGTGCACTTAAGAACACACACAAAAAATTCACAACTTGAACTGAAAATGTCTAATAGAAACACTTCATCATGTGCTCAATGAACAAGTTAAAATTCAAGTGCCACAATAAATTTACTAACAAATTCAAGGGATTATCTTTGTATTAAGCAGTTTTAAAGCATACCATTCACTTTAAACTTGTTTCTCAATCTCTTGGAAATTACTGAATCCCCTTCAGCATTTCTCTCTAGCAAGACAGATTTAAATCACCCCATGACAATAGCATAAATAATCTCCTATGATAACAGAACACTCAATATCTTTCTCTCTAATCCATCAGTCATCATAATTACTATAACATAACACTAAATATATTTCTCTGTTATACATCAGTCATCATAATTACTATAATTGACACTTGAAAAGTAGAAATCGAAGACCTCACACCTCAATCAAGTCAAATCATAATAAAGAGAAAGAAGGAGAAGTGTACTAGGAAGCAAACGAGCAAACAGAATATAAGCATACAAACAGAAGTACCCGAACAAGGAAAATAGTAACCTGGACCTTCCCAATCCTTCTGAGCAAAACCAGAAAGGCTAACAAACTATATAATAAATTGGAGAAAGAAAGAAAGAAAGAAAGAAAGAAAGAAAGAAAGAAAGAAAGAAAGAAAGAAAGAAAGAAAGAAAGAAAGAAAGAAAGAAAGAAAGAAAGAAAGAAAGAAAGAAAGAAAGAAAGAAAGAAAGAAAGAAAGAAAGAAAGAAAGAAAGAAAGAAAGAAAGAAAGAAAGAAAGAAAGAAAGAAAGAAAGAAAGAAAGAAAGAAAGAAAGAAAGAAAGAAAGAAAGAAAGAAAGAAAGAAAGAAAGAAAGAAAGAAAGAAAGAAAGAAAGAAAGAAAGAAAGAAAGAAAGAAAGAAAGAAAGAAAGAAAGAAAGAAAGAAAGAAAGAAAGAAAGAAAGAAAGAAAGAAAGAAAGAAAGAAAGAAAGAAAGAAAGAAAGAAAGAAAGAAAGAAAGAAAGAAAGAAAGAAAGAAAGAAAGAAAGAAAGAAAGAAAGGCATATAAACTTGTAAGTAATTGACTTGCAAAGCAAGAATACTCAGCATAACGAAACTACAGAACAAAGAGACAATCAATTGATGGCACAATAGTTGAAAGTGAGTTGGCCAATACCACAACTAAGACATCCAAGACGGACAGTCCGATAACTTCCACAGGTTCATATATATTGTGTAGAAAACATAGTAAGGGAACGGGGTGAGAAAGTCTTTAACAGGACTAAACGTCTAAACCCAAAATGAAAAACTCCATACTAGAAAATCTTCTCCATCATCGTCGTGATCTTGATCCAGCTTGTCTTGCTTCATCTGGATATGAAGGAAATAGCTCGATGTACCTTGATCCAATCTCCATATTGTCCTTGCACATAGCTTCCTTTGCCTCCTCAGCCGATGCAAACTCCACATAAGCATCACCAGTAGCTTTTCCATCAGAGCGGTAGGTAATGTTTATCTTGTCATCTGTAAGGTTAAACTCCTTACCAAAAAACTTGAGAATATCAGATTTCTTACAGCGGTATGGGAGACCGCGCATCTTCAATATCTCTGTGTACTCCATTTGATCTTTGTTCTGGGCCCTCTTTGGACGAGGTGGAGGGGAAGCACGGTAGTCAGATTCATAACCTCCTTCCTTCACCTCAGCAGCTATAGCTTGGTAATAATCTTGCTTCTTGCAACTGAAAACCTCTACATATCTCCTCCCCATGTTCTGCCTATCCCTCCGAAGAGCATAATCCACTTGAATGTGACCAGCAAAGACAACAAATGCTTCTCCAGAGAACCTACCATCCTTGTTGACCACAAAAATATCCACAATGTCCAGGCCAGCAAAGAACTTGTAAATGTCAATTTCAGTGCAATCAAATGGAAGACCCCTTAAACGAACAACAGGAAAGGCAGAAGGCGGAGATCTGTTATCATAGTCAAAAGCCTGCTGATAGCCACTTGCACTGCTGTTCACTGCGAAGTAGGGATTTGATTCCATCATTCTTGGTCTCTTTGAGCCGATCTCGTACCCGTCTGAAAACCCCCCGCTCCCCAACATTGCCCTTCATTATTGATACCCAGAAAAGGAAAAAAAAACAATTCCCCCACTCAACCTTGTTAATAAGAAACCAAACCCAACCCATATTTTCTCCTACAACCTAGTTTCATATACTACTTTTCTCCAAACAAAAACACAACATTTCATGCATGCTTCCAACCAACAAGCATAATTACAAGAAAATAAAACACATAAATTGGAGTCATCACGATAAATCAATACCTAAGCATAAACCTGAACCATAAACTTCTCAAGTTTAAAGGGGTTATTTTTTTACCTTCAATAAGTTCTTAATATATCTAGCAACACAAACAAAGTGAGCTAGATAAGACAAATAACCATGCTGAAAAAGACAATCATAACCCAAAAGTTTCCCTACCGTCATATAAAAAAAAAGGGGGAAATCACCTAAACATTCCAAGCCAGAATAGTCTCAATAAGTCAATCCTAAAGCAAATGTACAGGTCAAGTTTATTGCTAGTAAAAACTTCCTAGAGATCAGTAACTTTACTTTTGAGCCAGAAATCCACAACTCCCTAAAACATGGTAGTCGTGTACACTGAAAAGGTCTACAGGAAAATGGACATTTCTTGGATGCTATATCGAAATGTTGTTATAAAGAACATAAAACATGAGAAATTGGTTCCAAAAGAAAAAAACTTGGGCGTTATAATGAAGTGTTGTTATATAGGATAACTGTTATAGATACATGGAACTGTAATTTATCCTTAAGTGTGTTTTTTTATGATAAGGGAAACCCGCAGCCGCTACCCTTTGGGTGCGCACAGGATAAAACCCCAACTCCTATGCAATAGCTCGCAAACCACGCACTAGGCAAGCCCGGTGCGACAAGCTCAACCCAGAAGGAAAACCCCTTGCTTTCGCTGGCAAGGGGTTTCGAATTTGAGACCTCCAACATGGAAGTCTCAAGCCCAAACCACTGAGCCACCCCGAAAGGTATTTATCCTTAAGTTATGGTGTTGAAACAATCAAAGGATAATCTTGAAGTAACAGGCATGTTCTAACCCTCAGAAACCCCATGCTATCGAATTCACCCTCCCATATATAGCAAAAGAAAGGGTTTGTTTTACAATCTAAAGGCAAAATCAACCCTTTCAACACCAGAAAAAGATTCAATAATTATTAGTTACTACATGGCACTAACACAAAGCAGCATCGAAATTCGCCAACTTGTACCAACGTAATTAGAAAACGAACATCAAAATAGAAAAAGAAATACAAGTAAACACACATGAATAGATAGGAGAAGAATTAATTAAGAATTAATCAAGTAAGATAAACTTACCCTCTTGATCCGTACATAGCTCCGCAAGTTTGCAGAAACCCTCTGACGATTCAGATGAAACGAAAATCAAAATCTGCACCGAAACCCTAGCGAACAAAAAGGCCCAGAAAGCTCTCAATTGTTGTATGAGGAGACTATATACTCATTATTTAGACGCAGAAATTACTTAGGGCAGCTAAATCAAAACGACGTCGTTATTAGTGCCTATAAAATAATTAAGATATAAAGTTTTCAAAATACGGACTCTTTTTTTTACTAACAGCAAAATTAAACCTTGAATTTCAAATAACAAGATTTGACAATAGTATTGTTTTCTTTTTTGTAAATAATCTTAGATTGATTTATCCTTATGGACTTAAGATATAAAGTTTTCAATACATGGACTCTTTTTTTACTAACAGCAAAATCTATAAACTAGTTTAAATTTGCCCTTGAATTTCAAATAACAAGATTGTCATCATTTGGCAATAGTATTCTTCAATACTAAGCCATTAAATAGGTCCTTTTTTTTCTAGGTGAAATTAGCCACCCTCAAACCTCAACTAAATTTTAATGGAACTCAAATAGTAGCATCAAATTAAGTTGGACATTTTGTGAAAATGGAAACATTTTCATCATCAATCACCAATTGCGATGTCAAAGCTAGCTTCTTAATACCAAAGCAAACTCCTAAATCTTTTGCGACAAACTCAAGCACTACTAAGTAAATTCGATGAAATCCATGCAGAATGTTTGTTTTACTTCTAGTCATGTATCACTGCTCAGTTAGGACATGTGTGAAGAAGCCACAAAACACTACCAATTGATCCAAGAGGCATTGCTTGTAGCGCTTATATTAAGTGGTCTTCTGGAGGAGACAAAAAGGTGAATGAAAAAAAGTGATAAAAATGATGGTGTAAATTTGTATAGAATCTCGTTTGTTGTTTCTTTGAGTGTCATGTGGTCTAGATTAATGATGATTTTTTAAGAGTGAAGAAAATCAACAGAGATTGGTTTGGAGAATCGAGAGACTGTGAATGAGAAAAATAAAATCTCGACCATTTAAAAGTTAAAGGATAAAACGGATTCATCATTAAAGTTTATATTATATTTTTTATTTTGAAGGTTGAAAAAATAAAGAAAAAGAAAGGACAACGGATTGACTTTCAATTCAAGTATTTGGGGACAGTTTGTTTTTTTTTTTCGAAAAATAAATTAGTAGTATGAATGACTTTTCTCTCCAACTTCAATCAAAAGTTCTTCCTTGACTTTTTATCATATGCTTTTTCTACGTTTATTTGTATCGTGTTTAGATAATTTCTCTTCATCATATAAAATCTCATCAATCATTTGAGCAAAAGTATAGCTTCTACTGTAAGATTTACAAGGCACCTGGATCTGGATATATTGATAAAAAAGAAAAAATGTTGCCTATAACTACGTTTATTTCAGTTACTATTCATGATTCCACACCTCTATAGCTACAGTGAGCATAGCTTTATGCTTTCTGTGGCAATGACACTGTTGGCACTACCATACAAAGGTTTACGAGTTGCTCTTCACACTAATGTATCTTGTCAAAAATGATACAGTATTATTCGACTCGTTCAGGACAAAATTTCATCTATAGATCGATGTGAATATTAATTGCAATCAAATAAATACACATCAGTAGACTGGCCATCTTGGCTCTTTTCGATTGATGTGTATCTAGAGCCTTACTCTCCTATTTGAATATTTTCCGGCAGATAAGTTTGCTGACTCTAGTGGACAATATTAACCATGGAATGACTCCCACCTGCAGTTGCATACACAGAGTTTGTCAAACATTCTTCAATAAAAAGACATTTTTGGAAGTGACATGATTCATGAATACTGGATTTGGCACACCACTAAAGAAGGACAAGATTTGACATAATAAACGTTACAAATGAATCACAGAAAGTAAGAAATGGTAAACAAGACTGAGATCTTCAAACTCTCAGTCACATTTTTGTAAGTGAACGGACACCAAAATTATCGATCAAGGAATTCTCATAGCTAATTGAACTTGGGATTTCATAGGAAATGAGGACTGATGGAAATACGAGAGAATAAGCAGCCCCCCACCCCCGCGCACACCACCAACAAAAACCAAATTATCTTTTCCTAACTTCTTAAACTTGTCTCAAGATATCAGCAACTATACCCTTCCCAGAAATTGAGTGAGTACTCCCACCAAGCTTCAAAGGTTCAAACTCAAGACCTAAGTTCATTACTAGTTCATACAGTCACAGTTTTCCTTAAAAAGAAAATTCCAATCAACGCTAAATCCTCACAGTAGTTACCATCACATTTTCATTCGATGGACCTCCAGATTGCCAAGACAATATCCTACCTGCAACATGGAAAGTTATAGCAGATCAGTGACACAGTCACACAATGGCGGTGAAAGAAATAAATATATATTTACTGTCTATCCCATTGAAAGGCATGGCACAGCTAATTAGTGAAATATAAAATCAATATTACTAGAATATATCACAAAAGTCCTAAAGTTGAAAAAATGACGCTCAGTGTCAAGAAACCAAAAATACCAAGGGATAACAGATTACCGAATGGTTGCAGGAGCTGCTTAGGTATGGAAGCTACAGGGATACGCCAAAACCAGATAATCATCAAGAAGTAAGTCAAGATCTGTGTGATCAGTAGCTGATTAAGTATTTTATAATTTTAACAAAGGTTATCAACGTCTTGACTAGCAAAGCTCACATTCATTACCTTTACAACCATTAGGGCCTTTCTGTTTTTATCATATGACGATTTCATCTCTTTCATGAGCTTTTCTTGATCTGTATGGAACTAAATGTAGTTATTCAGAGTAAACGACAACAAGAACACCAAATACACCTCAATCTCATAATATTTGAAACAGGTATATGAATCCTCGCCTTGATACCCTCTGAGAATCATGTACTCAATAATTTAATTTTACGACAAATTTAAGGGCTTTCTAATACTAGAGGATCTCTTTATTCTTTCACTGATGTACAAATCAAAAAGTCAACTAGAATACTTTTGGCAAAAATGAGATGAAATGTAAGTATACCAACTGCCAACATGACTAATCTATACTCTCAACTTACAAGAGTACCACCAATTTGGTTCTTATGCATCCATTAAGTTCTTCTCTTTGCTAAGTCTGCATGGATTCAATGTGTCATATCAGCATCTATCGTACCATTCTTCTAGGAATCTGAACCAAGATTGAATTTGTCTGCACATAGGTGCCACAATCCCATTTAATCTCAGATCACCTTTGTTCTTCTTATGAGGGATGTAACTTGCAGCACACAGATGCAGTTTTACTTCTACACATCCTAATACCCTTATTCTCTAGATTACCTAGCTTCAGTTCCAACTTTCTTGTTGACTCCTTCACTACTTTCATCAATAAACAAAATCAAATTTGTAAATAGCATGCATCATATGTGTATATTATTGGTTAGTTCTTTTTCAATACATGAGATACTCGTCTACATTTTCTGACTGTTTTTACACTAGCAACCACTCATGTGCACATATCTTTTGTTCCATTTATATTTTGATATGAATTACTTTCTTCTCAAACCACCACCATTAGCTTTTTTGGTACTCAATTATTGCTCCTCCTAAGTGAAGATTATCATGTGGAGATCTTTCTACATCTTCCTAAAAAAAATCATAAATCATCTTAATCTATGTTACTTAGACTCTCCAGAAATATTGCCGCACCCGTGTAGGATCCTCGAACAATACACTAGCTTTGGAGGATCCTACACACACCCGTCAACATTTTTGAAGAGTTCGAACAACATAGGTCTTAATAGAAAATCACACCAAGCTGTCATTAGTTTTTAACCATAAGAAGGATAGTAGACTTGGTTTCTAACTATTTATGCTCTAACTGGCAGGAAAAAAGTGTCAATAATCAAAGAATTATGGAAACTTGCTACTTAAAAGGATAGTCGCTCAAATAATTTTAAGTCCTAAAAACAGGCTGGTGTATTTGGCCCTTTAATATTCCTAGCTTAGTATTCATGGGGTACAACACGTGTTAATGGAACTGACCATTTGTTATGACAGCCATTGAGAACGCCTGTGTTATTTTGGAGTTGATGTTAAGTTTTGATGATTTAACAAACTTCAGGATCTAACAAGGGACCAGATCCAGTAAAGACTCAGTCTTCTGGCCAGTGTTGTGAAAGGCGCTCGCCTTTCGCCTTTGGCGATAAGGCGAGGCGAGATGAAAATGGCGCCCTTTGGCAACCTTTTGCGACAAGGCTGGCGTCGCCTTTTTTTTTTTTTTTTTTAAAGGTCTGATTTATAATGAAAAGCCAAAATTAGGGTTTTTTTGGGGTATTTTTGCAAACATTCCACATTTGCGATTGCCTCCTCTTCTCCTCAGTCGCGAACCCTTCGTGCTTGCCTCCTTTTTGCAAACACCGACTTCGCGACCTTCTTCTTCAACTGACGGCGCGACTACTGCTCCTTCGCCGCTTCGTGACTGCTGCCAGGTACGTTTCTTCTTCTTCAGTTCTTCTCTTCTTCTTCTTCTTCTTTTTCTTCTCTTCTAATTCTTCTCTTCTTTTCTTCTTCTTCTTCACTACTCTGTTTTTCACTCACTACTGTGCTCTGTTTTCAGTGTGGTAGTGAACAGGGTTGTTCACTCACTCGGTGCTTTGTTCACTATTAGTTTTTTAAATTCAAATATTTGCTAATATATGTTATTGCTATTAAGATTTTCGATATTTATATGTGCAATTAAAAATTTTAATTTTTGGTATTAATTGGCGCCTTAATTCAAAAAGGTGAGCACCTCACCGCTCGCCTCACCTCGTGGCGAGGCAGGCCCTTGTCGCCTTTTGTCGCCTCTCGCCGTCCAAAACACTGCTTCTGGCATTGGGACTGATGATAAAGGGAATGAACGAAACCAAGGGACGAAAGTTGAAGTGGCTAGATATTAGTTTGTCATCATCAAAAAGGGGGAAATTGTTATGTTAAGTTGATTTGAAGTTTTGATGATTTAACAAACTTTCGGATCTAACAAGGGACCTGGTTGAGGAAAGACAAAAGGCAGGTGTCTAAAAACTGTCAAATTTGACATGGTTGATGCACGACTTTTTAGAGTAGCAGGCTCTCAGCCAATGGCTTTGTCCCAAGGGTTTGTGTCCATTTGATAATAGTCTTTTCTCCAAACACAAATCCAAGATTTGGCAAACAAAGTTTTGAATTTCTGAAAATTCATAAGCTCACTAAGAAAAAGCCATCTTCAAGGAAGAACACTCTCATGCTCAACAAGGGATCAGATGAAGTGTTGAAGCGTCTTTGTTGTATTTTGAGCTTTGTGTCTTATGTTCTTATATTATAAGTCTACTCCTAAGTTATAAAGGATAGTAGATCGGTTGCGGCTTTAGGTTGAGTCGGATTAACTAGACTTAGTTAGTCGAATCATCTATGTTTTAGTCAAGCCTTTTTACATTATTGTTTTGATGTTCTCTTGGGTAGAGTTGCCTAGGAGTGTCAACTAGAGTTAGTTGATGTTTGGGTGCAGCAGAGTTGCTGCTTGTTTAGCTCTTATCTTCAAGATTTGAGTTGGTGGCTAGAGTTAGCCTTGTTGGGTTCTTAAAGTCTAGATCAACTAGAGTTAGTTGGTTTAGTGGGCAATAGAGTTATTGCTTAGTTTCCTTTGTAGTATAGTTGCTACAATAAGGGGGAAGGGATTAAAGAGTTTTAATTCCTAGGTTGCAAGAATTTGTAATCTAAAACTTTGCGGAGTTTGGGTTGAAATCATGTGAGTACAGGACGTGGTTTTCACCTCCCTTGAGCAAGGGGGTTTCCACGTAAAATCCTTGTACCTGATCTACTTTGAGCTATTTATTTTCCACACTATTATTCTGTCTAGGGACCTGGTCCAGTCATCACTGGTGGACGCATACATTCCACCATACATTCTAACACCCTGTCCCCCAAGTCCTCTAGAAAATTAGGAAGCAATTTGCTGGATGCGTGCACGCTAATTGTGATGTGCTGAGAGGATATCATGGGTCAGTACGAAAAAAGATAAGATGTTGAAGTAAAACTGTTAGCACGCCAAACCTTGTTCCTTTATTTCTGAACCTAAAAAGACGGATGTTTTGCTCTTAAAGACATCTCTGTTTGGTTGTTTCACCATCCATATACTTTAGGAATATTGGTACAAGACTAATTAGTACTGGCGTAGCTAAATTTGATAGAAGTATCTCCAAGCATTCTTCTATTAGTTTGCTTTCTATGGTAGCCCAAGTACACCAGACAAAATAGAGAATTCGGGACTCTGACTGCCATTTCTAGTGTTTTCTACTATGAGTACCTTAAGTTTCTTTCTACATGCTATTTTACTTGTCCAACTATACTTTGATGGAGAATTACGAACCTATGTAGAAGCATTCCCATAAATCAAGTCTATAAGAATTATGGATAAACAATAGTATCTATTCTTAGTATGGTAGTATATGCCATACTTTTTGCAAGCTCCTGCTCCTTGGCTGCTGCCGTCCTCCTTAGTTTGGCAGCTTGTGCAAATGTTGAAGGCCTGAAATCATTATGAAAACAACATAAGCTTTTACATATCATATATACTGTACAAAATTATTATCACCTACAAAGTGAATTACCAGCCTATGACAACTCTCACTTTCTTAACTAAAATCCCAGAAGGAACAGAAGAAATACAAGTATTTTGGTTGGAAACCTGAACATTTCCTAAGACACATCATAAGTTTTATACAGCATAACATGGAAATTATTGATATCATGTGTCTACTTAAAAACAGCAACTTTTGTTTTCACCATCTACCATTAACTATCAATATATAGTTTTCCATTCCGTATAGATATGAAGATAAATAATACTCCACCCTCTCCAATATGACACCCTTCTGGTGTTGTAACATTCAAAAATGTTAGAGATAGTTTCATTTAATTACAATTTTTGCAACCTTCAAGAATTCAGATTCATTAAATTATTCAACTTTTTAAACTTTGATACATGATTTTCTCTATCAAACTTACTCTAACATTCTAATCCACTATCATTGTTATAATATAAGTCAAACTAACATATTGTTTTGATCAGGTGAGGTAAAAGTCAAATTGACATCTTAAACTCTACCTCGAGTAAAATAAAGCATATAGAATGTGACAGAGGATTACTAGAAGGATGTAACTTGTCATATTGATAGAGAAATTATCAAAGATAAATATAGATCAAGAGAGCTTTAACAGATAGAGAAAATATAACACTCATGTGCAGAACTCTTGTTGAATTCCTATACAAGATCACATAAAGATTAGTTACTTGAACAATTGGAATCACTTACTGTGACATGGCATTCGCTTCCTTTTGCAGCTGCTTAATTTCTGCACGCAACTTCAGCTCCTCAGCATTTACAGCAACTCTCTGACAACAAAGACTGTTATATTAGAGATAAGACAATAGCAAAACAAAACAATTATTGTTTAAGAAAAAAGATTAGAAGAATTGTGATATATCTGAACAGGAAGAAAAAAAAGACTTTGACCTACAAACAATATGACTTCATTTGTGTTAAAACTCTTGACAAATGGATATTCAAATAACAGAGAAGATCAATAGTAAGCAATCGGTTGTCTGTGTGTATACATGTGTATATATATATATATATATATATATATATATTGGTAGTATAGATAAATAACTCAACATTCAACCAAGTGCAACATTTAGCTTACTTGTAGCATGACTGCCAACAGATAATATTATATCAATTTTAGAAAATATATACATAAAATATCTACTTTTTCAGAGAGACCACGAGTTCACATGCTCCATATTTTAGCCATAAATTCTCCTAGGAGGGGCGCATGGTTTAAACCACTGCACCAATAAGTTCTAGTGTTCTTAAAGTGCTTAATGAAATATATCTCATATCTCAAGCTAAATATACACATATATACATAATTTTTCCCAAAGTTACACCTCATACGTACACACATAGGTCCGCCTCTGTCTGGATATGATATGCAAGTATAAATTGTTGTATATGTGTACGTACACAGTTTCTCTCTCACAAACAGATAAATGAGGTGACAAAATCAACAACGTATCGGATGAGAAATAAAAGCACAGAGGTACATGAATCCAAATATCATACACATTGTGAAGTTAATATAAATTTTTGATAAGAGGTGGGAAATGGAGAAAATACACTGGTATTGAGTTCGACATAACGGGAAAGGTACTGAACGGCGACGACGATAAGGAATATAATCGGCGCGGCAACGGATCCTTCCATTGATTTCTCCATTTTCTTCTCCAACCCTTTCTCCTGCTTACTTTATGGATTCCTCATCTTCCTTGCGGAACCAATATCTCCGCACATCTTTCGTGTTTTCTTCTCCTTCCTCTGATTTCTGATGCAAAGTTTTGAAATTTTCACTCTTTTTCTTTTATCCTCACTTATATTTTGGGATAAAAAAAGTTGCCATTAAAACCCATTTTTTCAATTAAAAAATATGGCAACTAATTTTTGGTTATGACCTAATTTTCTAAAATTAATATAGATCTACAATAATTTATTATTACAAAAAGCACTAAAGTTACTCCTCAACTCAATGTTTTATTGTACATTTTATGTATTTAAATATGACATAAAAATAAAACAAATAGTATCTTCAAATGCCTCTTCAATCAATATTATTTGTGATTTAAAAAAAATAATATCTCTATTATAAAGAAAAACAAAAATCATTTTTATAATCTAATGATAAAAATTAGTGAAAACCTTTAGTAGCGATATTTTGGAATTTTATGGTGACTTATGTCGCTGCTAAAGATCCATTTTTTTGTAGTGAATCCTAGTTAAGAATGCTTAGGTGGAGGAGTTAGTTCCATGTGGCTTGTCAAGTCAATAAAAATTTGGGTTGTTAACTCTTGACGATATGTGTGGTCTCTTGAGATAAAGGCAGAGGCATTTTTTATCCCAAAATATAATAGAGGATATAAGTGATCTATTTCACATAGTTCAGGAACAATTTTGACCCTTTTCCATTTTTATTTTTAAAAGTTATGCTAGTATAATCTTTAAAGACTATTCTTTTAGATAACATCATACTCAAATCTAGTATTTGTGAAAGAATTAAACAATACTTGGTACAAATTTGTGTAGCTTTGATTGTTACAGTGGAATGAACTTTTGAGCCTTAAAATTGAATATGAATTATATGGTCCGCAAAAACTTATACGGATCGTAGTTTAGACCCGTAGAATGAAAATTTGAGCCTTAAAATTTAGTATGAATTCCACGGATGGGATCTACGGTTCGTAAAATAAACCACGAACCATAGATGACCCCGTGAAAGGTTTTTGTCATCTTTTTAATAAAGGTATTTCGAACTTTTCTCACCCATTCCAAGCCTAAAACCTGACTTTTTACTCTAAGTTAAGGTTTAAACAATGTTAGCTGCTTTTTTACGTTCATTAATACTCCAAGTCATTAGAAAAAGGTTCTCCGAAGACATGATATACATGACCAAGTGTAACATCTCGCCAATTTGAAATAACTAAGAAGAAGTTAGGAATTGGAAATAACCATTTTTGGAAAGAATATAAAAATCTGGAAATTTGTTAAGTATGTTCAGTTGAGTTTTTGGTCAACTTCAAACGACCATAACTCCTACCTCAGATTGAGTTAAGTGTGTTTCCAGATATCGTAGGAAATATCTTGGAATGATCTTTCCAACGCCGCCGAGTTTGCGCGATTCCAAGTTCGTATGAGTGAGATATGCCCATTCGAAGTTGGGTTGTTCAAATAAAGAAATGTCCAATCCGAATTTTAAAGGGTGTTTTGGTCTTTTCCGTACCCTATTAATTTATTTCGTTTTTGGTAATTAAGTTAAGGTCTAATCAGAATTAGACCAGTTTAGAAAAGTTAAAGTTCACGCTAGGGCTTGGAGAAAAGAGAAGAGGAGAAAGGAGAAGAAAGTTCAAAGTTAATCGATTTCTTGGAGATTTTCGTGTGGATTTCGCCAAGGATTTAATCCTACAAGGTATGTGAGGCTTTCATAACGTTGGGTTTGTTCACCCACGTGCCAAACATGTTTATTTCAGTGTGAATTCGTCCTAAAAGAGTTTGAAAGTTGATGTTCTTGATATCTATTCTTGAATTTGATAATGTTCTTGAGTTGGGTTGAAATTGAGAAGTTTATGAGATCGTTATATCAAATTATTGAGTTGGTTGGAGTTAGGTTCTTACGTACATTTGTTGGGTATCTGTATCTAAAAAGAATTTGGGAAAAGAATCGAGTTTGGGTGAATTGGGGTTGGAAAACGAAGAAAAAATTTAGTCGGGCAAATCTGGGCACTAGCTCCGCGTCGCGGACCTGCTCCCCAGATTGGGGAAAATGCCTTCGCATCGCGGAGCGGTCACGGACCGTTCTGCCTCAAAAAGTATTTTTGCGACTAAAATTTAAATACATCTCTGTGTCGCGGACCTGCCCTCAGACAATGATTTTTTTTATCTTTTCTCATGTTTAGCTATCTAAAAACACTTCAAAACATCATGAGATCTTTCCTACCACAAATCACAATCCTTGAATCCATAATTCAATTCAAGGAGAGTTAAGAGTCAAGTCAAGAGAAGTTCATAAAGTTTTCCAAAAGTCTTTTACAAATGTTTCAACTTTGTTTTAAGACTTGAGTTTTGATTTGAATAAATAGTAAAGTTTGTAGTTCATTTCTTCAAAAGAGTATATCGAAACTATGTATTCCCAAAGAGTAAATGTTTTTACATTTAAACAAGAAAGGAAATTGAGATTTCCAAAAGAGCCTTTGAGCTAGTTTTCAGTAAAGAGTAAGAGTAAAGTTCATTCTTCAAAGACTATACGGGAACTAAGTATTCCCAAGAGTTAAAATATTTTCACATTTGAAGACAAAAAGGAAACTGAGATTTCCAAAAGAGCTTTTAAGCTAAGTTTTGAGTAATTATCTCAAACCAAAGAAAGAAGTTTGTTTTAAAAACACATGAGCTAAGTATATTTTGGGAGTAGTATTGAGCACCGATATGGAGATGCGAGTTCATATTAACTCAAGTCTCTGTAAACCGTGTAGCCATCATGGGTAGTAAAGGATCATACTTTTTAGATGACTCCTTAAGATGCTTTTAGCATAGACTAGTGGATTCACTTAGTTAAGCGTTCTATATGATGTCAAAGTATAGGACAATTCTGGTAGCGTGGACAAGACGTTGTATCACCACTTAGGCTCATAGTGGTGGTTGTCGGTTAGAGAAACTCCCACAGAAACTATATTACTTTATTATATAAGTAAAGTTAAGTTTGTTATTGCATTTTCTTTAACGAACTAAGTTGTTTTCTATTGTTTTAAAAGCTTTCCATATATTGCATGTGTTTTATTGCTTTATATTGAGTTAAGCTATTCAGGAGTTGAGTAAAGCCAAGGTAAGTGTTTCTTTCAGATTCGTTTCAAGCTTAAGTTATGTTTAACACTTCAACTCGCATACTCATACATTCAATGTACTGATGCTAGTTGGCCTGCATATTATTATGATGCAGACGCAGGTAACCAGGATCAGCATCCAGCGCCTCATTGATTCAGTTGAGCACTCAGAGTCAGTTGGTGAGCCTCCTAGCTTTCCGAAGGATCCTTTTTATTGCTTTCAGTATTTTAGTTCATTAGGATGTCGTGGGTCTTGTCCCGACGTCCATCTCAGTTGTTTAGAGGCTTCATAGATAGAGTTAGTGATGTTAGTTCATGAGTCTTTACTTTTCCTTTTCAGTTAAGTTGAGACTTGAGTTGCCACTTTGGCAGTGAATGTTATTATAATACATTCTAATTTATATTTTGAGCAGTTCAGTTTACTTGATTTAAAAGTATTTATATTGAGTAAAGTCTTCCGCTGAGTAAGTAAGCCAGGCCAAGGGTTCGCTTGGGGCCAACAATGGTTCTCGAGTGCCAGCCATGTCAAGAGTGTAGGCTCAGGGAGTGACAAACTTGGTATCAGAGCACAGAGTTCAAGAGTCCTAGTGAGTCTATGAAGTCGTATCTGTAGAGTCCTAGTTATCGGTGTGAAGCGCGCCACATCTTTAATTAGGAGGCTGCAATATTTAGGAATTCCTTTACTTCTTTCATACTCACTTCGTGCAATAGAGTGCATCTCTATAAAAGTCTTTTTCCAACTCGTGCTTACGCATAACCGATTGTGAGTTGGCCTATGGTCGAGAGTGCCTTCATGAAGTGTTTTCCTAGTGAGCTAAGAGAAGCAAAAAGATTATTGCTAACATGAGGAGCAGAATGAGTTTATTTGTTGCTGGGTTGTCTCGTCTGTCAAGTAAGAAATGTAAGGTAACCATGCTAATAGGTGACATGGACATAACAAAGCTGATGATCCATGTGCAACAAGTTGAGGAGGACAAGTTGAAGGATAGCGAAAAGTTTAAGAATAAGAGGCTAAGATATCAAGGAATGAATCCGGGCATCAAAAGAGTAACGTGAACTGGTCTTCTTTCCAACATAAGTAGAAAGGACCTGCTCCATCAGCTGTTAGTGCACATGCACCCAGAAACAAATGTGAGTACAATAGTCAGAATTCTCAGAACTTTAGAGCTAGACATGCGCATTCGCAAGGTTGTAAGGCACAAAGGGGTACTAAGACTCATGCATGTGCTAAGTGTGGTAGGAGCCACTCAGGGATGTGTCGTGATAACTCCACAAGTTGCTTTCAAGTGTGGCCAGAACGGTCATTTTATGAGAGAGTGTCCTAAGAGTAGACAGAGTAATGGTAATGAGGGCCATAGAGCCCAGTCTTCTTTAGTTGCTCCACCAGATAGAGCTGCATCTAGATGAGCTACTTCAAGGGCAGACGGAGAAGGAAACCGTCTTTATTCTATCGCTAGTTGCCGAGAGCAAGAGGATTCGCCAGATGTTGTCACTGGTATGATCAAGTCTTAAATTTTGATGTTCTTCCTGAGTAACTTCTTGAGCCTTCAGTGTTTCTACACCTGATGGTGAGTCTATTCTAGCAGAAAGAGTCTATCGTGATTGTTCTGTTCCCGTCAATCACAAGAGTACCATGGCTTATTTAGTTGAGTTAGACATGGTAGATTTTGATGTCATTCTAGGTATGGACTGGCTTCATGCCTGTTATGCATCAATAGATTGTAGAACTCGAGTAGTCAAGTTCCAGTTTCCAGTGAACCAGTTATAGAATTGAAGAGTAGTTCAGCAGTACCTAAGGGTCGTTTTATTTCATACCTTAAGGTGAGAAAGTTAGTTTCCAAGGGGTGTGTCTATCACTTAGTTTGAATTAATGACTCTAGTGTTGAGATACCTCATATTTAGTCAGTTTCAGTAGTAAAAGAGTTTCCATAAGTCTTTCCGGATGATCTTCCCGGAGTCCCTCCTGAGAGAGAAATAGACTTCGATATAGAT